CAAGCATGTTATGGGCTGGCTGGCGGTCTTGAGGCCCTCTTGGGTCTCAAGGCCCTCTTGGGCCCTCTCGAGGGCCTCTTGGGCCGTCTTGGGGCCCTCTCGGAGGCTTCTTGTGCCGTCTTGGGGTTATTTCTGGGGTCTCTTCTCTTGGGCCATCTTGGAGTGTCGGTAGCCCGAAACGGCGAGAGCGCTACAATCAAATGGCATTCGGCCCATCCCGCCACCGTGCCTGGGTTGTGGGTCACAGGCCTCTTGGATGCTCTTTGGGAGGTCGCGGGGGGCCTCTCGGGGGCCTCTTGGGGTCTCTTGGGGGCTTCTTGAGGCCTCCTAGGGATACCTTAGGGCGGAACGCTCGAATTGTCGGTTCGCCCCCCCCCCCCCCCCACCCCCCCCCCCCTTTTGGACCTCACTTTGGGCCGTCTTGTGCCGTCTGGGGCGCCTCTTGGGCCGGGGCCCTCTTGGGGGCCTATTGGGCCGTCTTGGGCGATCTTGGGGGCCTCTTGGGCCGTCTTGCACGCCGTGAGGCCGAACAGTAGTATATGCTCAAAGATTTGTGTTGTCCCTGGGGAATTTTGTGATTTTTGCTTCTTGGGGCCCTCTTGGGAGGCCTCTCGGGCCCCTCTTGGGGCGTCTTGGGCGCCTCTTCAGCCGGTCTTCAGGCCATCTTGGGCGTCTTGGACCGATCTTTCGGCTTTTCAGGGCCCCTGCAGCGTTTTCGGCCTGTCTTGGGGGCCCTCTTGGGCCTGACAACAATCGTGTGACAGTATCTGGGAGGCACGCGACAGGCACCGAATCATTGAATCGCTTCGCTCATTCCGCCGGCCCATTTCGCATGACTGAGCCTCTTGGGGCCGCTGGGGGGCCTCTTCAGCGTCGCTTGGGGGCCTCCTGAGGGCCTCTTGGGGCTTTTGGGGCCTCTCAGGGGCCTCTTGAGGCCTCCTGGGGGCTTCTCAAGGCCGAGGGCTCGAAGTTTTGGTTTATGTTCCCCCTTTGGGGCATCGCTTGGGGCCCTCTTGGGCCCCTCTTGGGCCGTCTTGGATGCCTCTGGGGCCGTCTTGGAGCCCTCTTGGGCCATCTTGGGGCTTCTTGGGAGCTTCTTGGGCCCTCTTGGGGCGATCTTGGGGGCCTCTTGGGCCGTCTTGGGGCGTCGGGAAGCCGAAAAGATGGACACGCCAAAATCTGCCCAAAACCTAAGGAAGTAATGAATTTTGCCTCTTGGGGCCCTCTGGGGAGTGCTCTTGGAGGTCTCTTGGGGCGTCTGGGGGCCATCTTGGGCGTCTTGGAACGATCGTGTGGCATCTCGGAGGGCTCTTGGCGGCCTCGTGGCCCTTCTTGGGGCTCTCTGGAGGGCCACGGGGGCGGCGCCCAGGAGGAAAACCATCTCTGACCCGAGTCTGCCGGGGATCGCCCGGGGTACTTTTCGTCCGGGGACCCCCAGGGGCCGCCCCGCGCGCGCGAAGTAGAAGTATTATTTAGCAGTTACCGGAGATCTTAGCACGCCTCAGGCACCGAATTATTTGGCCTCTGGGGTCTGGGCCCCTTAAAGGACCCTCGGGAGTGAGGACTGAGGCTTCTGAGAAGTTGTTTCAGTCATCCCCCGAAGACAGAAGCACCTCCTCGGAAGGCGCGAGGGCTTCTGAGAAGCTCCGCCACCTTCTGAGAAGGCTTTCTCCTTCTCATTTCCTCCCCTCGCTCGCAGCCGATGACAAGAACCTTAGGATTGGTGAACTGAGGATTACAGTGGAGACCCATGCCAAGAAGCACCCTGCTTGCCTTCAGGGTGCCCTGGGTTTCTCGGGGTTGGATGGTTTTGCAATGGAAGAAATCGGTGGACGTCTCGTGGTCTCAGGGTTGGGTTTCTTGTGGAAGGTTTCTTGTGGACTGGCCTCCACTGTAAGGGATTAGGCCAAGGATTTGCGGACACTCCAGGCCGTGCCTCAGGACACGTTGGCGGACATGTGCAGCACCTCTGGGAGAGCATTGTCTTGCGTCTCTTGAGACCCTCTCGGGGGGCTCTTGGAGCCCTCTTGGAGGCCTCGTGGACCTCTTGAAACCATTGAGCTGGCCTCGTTCCTCTGCAGGCCCTAAGTCCTGGCTAAGCCGTGGTCTTAAGGAACTGAAGGGGCTGAAAGGAGAAACAGCCTCTCGAGACCATCTTGGGCGCCTCGGAGTGCTCTTGGACCGTGTCGGGGCCAGCTTTGACCGTCTTGGGAATCTCTTGGGGCCCTCTTGGTTCGTGTCGAGGTCCCCTGGCCTCGGGACGGGGGAAGCCCCACGAGCGCCAGGAACCCTGGGCTGTGGGCACTTCAGAGAACACACAGGGACCTGAGGATACTCTACCTTCGTGCGTCGGGGCACGGCGGCGGACACAGATTACACAAACTTATGAACGACGTTCACACGCATATGCATACACGCATGCACGCGTGCACGCATGTATGTGTACACGTGCATACACATCTGTCTATGCATACATGTACATTACATCTCAAGCGCGCGTGCACACACTACGTGCATCCGTCGTCTGCCAACCTACCCGTGCATCTTTACGCGTACACAGCGGTATACAGATGAACATGTAGTTGCACATGCGTACGCCCACTTCTCTCGTTCTCTTCCTCTCGGCCCCGCCGCCGTGCCCGCGCAATATCGCAGTACGGAGCGAGCGTGCGGCGCGCTCCAGTTCAGCAGTCTGCGTTGTCGCGTTGGCTTGATCGCCTCCTTCTTGTTCACCGCCTTGTTCTCTTGCTATTCCCTTCTCGCTCGTCTGGATCCTTCTCCTGCTCTACCTCGCCGTCCTCCTCGTCCTGCCCGTCCGCGTCGTCCTCCCCCTCTCCCCTTCTCTACCTGCTTCTTCTTGCCCTGTTGCTGCTTCTCATTCTCCTTCTCCATCCTCCTCCTCCTTCTCCTCCTCCTGGACTCGACGGCTGCACCGAGCCTCCCTGGGGAGAGAGGCCCGCCAGGGGCTGCGGCTGCTCTCTCCGGGGCTGCGGCTGTAGGGCAGGCATGGCCGCGCGCGCCAGGTTGAGGGTGGAAATGGCAGTTCGGCAGGGAGGAGTAGGAGGAGTAGGAGGAGCAGGAGGAGGAGAAGGAGGCGGATGCGGATGCGGAGGCGGAGGCGGAGGAGGCGGAGGAGGAGGATGATGAGGAGGAGGAGGATGAGGAGGGGGAGTCTGAGGAGGAGGAGGAGGAGGAATAGTAATAACACTCATACTAGTTATAGTTCAACTAGTACTACTATACTACTCAAAGTAATCATGCGATTCATACTGATACTACTAACGCTAAGACTGATAAGAAGACTAGGAGGGGGTGCGGGAGGGGCATGACGCTCCTCATGTTCGTGGCCATGTCCGTGTCCCTGCTTTACGACAAAGACATGCGCCGCCGCTGCGGGTGCAAGCCATCCCTCGAGGACTCCCTCCAGGCCGCGTGGCCGCCAGGGTCGGAGCTTCGGTCCCGCCTCTGCTCCAGACGCTGCCAGAGGTCGATGGCTTGCCCGAGGTGCCCCGAGCCTTCTGCGCCACTCTGGAGCCCTGGATTGCTGTCTGGGCCTCCTCAAGGGTGCTCCTGGAAGCCATCTGTGCCTCCCTGGACGAGCCGAGGTCACCCTGGGCCAGGGTCACCTCTGGCAGCCCCCGAGTCTTGTCCCTCTTCTCTGCTCCGCCTCCCCCGCGTCCCTCCGCCCCCTCGTCCTCTCCCTCGGCTCATCCGCAGGGGCACGAGGACAAGCGCGCTTCGCGCCTTCGCGGCCTGGGCCAGAGGTGGCCCTCCTCACGTGGGTCGCGCGAGGGCGCTCAGATCGTTGGCGCTTCGCCGAGCTCGAATGTGGGCGACCCCGTGCCGTCTTCGTTTTCGACCTGCTACTGCTGCTTCCCCTCCAACAGTGTGCCGGCCGAGATCTAGTTCAGCCAGGAGGAAGCCGAGGAAAGAAGGTGGATGACATGAGTGGGAGGAGGAGGAGGAGGAGGAGGAGGAGGAGGAGGAGGAGGAGGAGGAGGAGGAGGAGGAGGAGGAGAGTTAGGACGTAGGAGGAGAAGGCGGGGAAGGAGGAAGAAGAGGAGACTAATGAGGACATGCAACCCGTTACGTGTCTGCCCTTCTGCCCTCTCAGGCCCCTGTTCGGGGGCCGCGAGGGGTGCTTGCGGCCAGCTTCGAGGGAGCACTCAGGCCTTTCAAGACCTAGTAAGCTCCGGCCCGCTTTGTTGGTTCCTCTTTCTTTTTTATTTTTCTTTTTTCTTTATTTCACTCTCTCGCTCTTTCGCATCTTCTCTCCAGATTAAGCTGTCTCCTTCGTCCCCCCTCGGCGGCATACGAGCTTTTCAAGATTCCAGAAACTCCCGCCCATTTGTTTGTTCCTTCTTTTTACCTCTCTCTATCTCTCGCATCTTCTCTCCAGATTGAGCTGTCTCTCCTTCGCCCCCCATCGGCGGCACTCAAGCTTTTCAAGATCCAGGTCGCTCCCGCCCATTTTGTGTATCTCTCTCTCTCTCGCATCTGCTCTCCAGATTGAGCTGTCCCTTCTTGGTCCCCCCTCGGCGGCATTCGAGCTTTTCAAGACTCCGGAAAGTCCCGCCCATTTTTGTTCTTTGTGTTTTTTTTTCTCTTTCTCTCTCTCGCATCCTTTCTCCAGGTTGAGCTGCCCCTCCTTGTTCCCCCCTCGGCGGCACTCGAGCTTTGCAAGCATGCAGGCTCCCCACGCCCATTTGTGTTTACTTTTTTCTTTTCTCTCTCTCTCTCTCTCTCCTACTCCTCGCAGCTTCTCTCCAGATTGAGCTGTCCCTCCTTCGTCCCCCTTCGGCGGCATTCAGGCGTTTCAAGATTCCGGAAACTCCCGCCAATTTTTGTTTGCTATTTCCTATATCTCTCTCTCATCCTCTCTCCAGATTGAGCTGTCCCTCCTTCGCCCCCCCCTTCGGCGGCATTCAGGCGTTTCAAGAGTCAGGAAGCTCCCGCACATTTTTTTTCCTCTCTCTCTCTCTCGCATGGCCCCTCCAGGTTGAGCTGCCCCTCCTTCGTCCCCCACGGCGGCGCCCAAGGCTTTTCAAGATTCAGGAATCCCCGCCCGATTGTCAGATTCTCCTTTTTTTTTTTTCTCTCTCTCTCTCTCTCTCTCCCCTCCCTTTTTTTGTTTCTCTCTCTCTCTCATCTTCTCCCCAGATTGAGCTGTCCCTCCTTGGTCCCCCCTCGGCGGCACTCAGGCTTTTCAAGATTCAGGAAATTCCCGCCCATGCCTTTGTTCATTCGCATTTTTTGCATATCTCTCTGTCTCTCTCTCTCTCTCTCTCTTTCTCTTTCTCTTTTTTTTTCTCTCTCTCTCTCTCTCCCCCGCGTCTTCTCTCCAGATTGGATTGCACCTCGTTCGTCCCCCCTCGGCGGAACTCGAGCTTGTCAAGATTCAGGACATTCCCGCCCATTTGATCGTGTCTTATGTTTGTGTGTGTGTGTGTGTCTCTCTCTCTCTCTCTCACATCCTCCCTCCGGGTTGAGCTGTCCCTCCTTCGCACCCCACCTCGGCGGCGCTCAGGCTTTTCAATATTAAGGGAACGTCTTTTTTTTTATTCTCGCTCTCTCCCGCTCTCCCTCTTATCTTATCTCCAGGTTGAGCTGTCCCTCCTTCGTTCCCCCATCGACGGCGCTCGGGCATGTCAAGATTCAGGAAACTGCCGCCATTTTTTTTGTTTGTTTTTGTTTCCTCTCTCTCTCTCTCGCATCGCCCTGTCAGTTTGAGCTGTCCCTCCTTCGCCCCCCCCCTTCAGCGGCATGTGAGCTGTTCAGTAGTCAGGCAACTCCCGCCAATTTAGGTATCTTTTCCGCTCACTCTCTCTCTCGCTCTCTCGCATCTTCTCTCCAGGTTGAGCTGTCCCTCCTTCGTCCCCTCTCGGCGGCATTTGAGTTTTTCAAGATCCAGGAAGCTCCCGCCAATTTGTTTGTTTTCATTTTTTTTGTTGGTTCTCTCTCTCTCTCACTCTTTCTCTCTCGCATCTTCTCTCCAGACTGAGCTGCCACTCCTTCGCCCCCCTCGGCGGCGCTCAAGCCTTCCCAAGATTCAGGCACCCCCCGCCCATTTGTTTGTTCAATATTTTTTCTTTTTATCTTCCCTTCTCGCATCTTCTCTCCAGATTGAGCTGTCCCTCCTTCGTCCCCTTCGGCGGCGCTCAGGCTTTTCAGGATTCCGGAAGCTCCCTCCCATTTTTTTTTTTTTTTTTTTTTTTGTTTTTTTGTTCTCTCTCTCTCTCTCTCTCTTTCATCCTCTTTCCAAATTCAGCTGCCCCTCCTTCGCCCCCCCTCGGCGGCACTCGAGCTTTTCAAGTGCCGGGAACTCCCTCTCATTTGTTTGGTTCCCATCTTTTTTGTTTTCTCTCTGTCTCTTTCTCTCTCTCGCATCGCCTTTCCAGGTTGAGCTGTCCCTCCTTCGTCCCACACGGCGGCGCTCGAGCTTCTCGATGTTCAGGACCCCCTATCTCTCTCTCCCTCTCTCTGTCGCGTCTTCTCCCCGCATTGAGCCGCGCTTTCTTCGTCCCCCCTCGGCGGCGTTCAAATTTTTCAAGGTTCAGGAAGCTCCGGCCCATTTGTTTGTTTCTAAGTTTTTTTTGTTTCCTCTCTCTCTCTCTCTCTCTTTCGCGTCTTCTCTCCAGATTGAGCCGCGCTTTCTTCGTCCCCCCTTTTTCACGCCCCTAAGGGGAGCCGCCGATGGGGTGTGACACGGTCCCGTTCGCGGCCGTTTTGCGGGGATGTCTCGAGCGGTTTGCCTTTTTTCTGGCCCGGCATCCTTCGCGTTCGGAGCAGATTTGGCGGATGTCTCGAGCGAGGCGCTCATTTTCACGCCCCTAAGGGGGGCCGCCGAGGGGTGTGACGCGGCCCCTTCAAGCTTTTCAGGAAGCTCCGGCCCATCTGTCTGTTTCTAAGTTTTTTTGTTGTTTCCTCTCTCTCTCTCTCTGTCTCTCTTTCGCGTCTTCTCTCCAGATTGAGCCGCGCTTTCTTCGCCCCCCCTCGGTGGCACTCGCGCTTTTCGATTGTTTTATGTGTTTTGTTGTTTGTTTTTTGTTATTTGTTGTTTTTTTATCTCTCTCTCTCTCTCTCTCGCATCTCCTCTCCAGATTGAGCTGCCCCTCGTTCGCCCCCCCATTCGCGGCGCTCGAGCTTATCGAGATTCAGGCAATTCCCGCCCATGTTTTTTTTTTTCTCGCTCTCTCTTTGTCTCGCATCTTCTCTCCAGATTGAGCTGTCCCTCCTTCCCCATTGGTGGCATTCAGGTTTGTCAAGATCCAGAAAATTCCCGCCCATGTTTGTATCCTTTGTCGCTCTCTCTCTCTCTCTCTGTCCCTCCCTCGCATTTTCTCTCCCGATTGAGTTGTCCCTCCTTCGTCCCCCCTGCGGCGGTCAAGCATTTATCACGTTTCGGGAGTAACCCGCCCAATTGTTTGTTTCTTATTTCTTATCTGTCTTTCTCTTTCGCATCTTCTCTCCAGGTTGAGCTGCCCCTCCTTCGCCCACCCCCTCGGCGGCACTCGAGCATTTCAAGATTCCGTAGAAACTCCCGCCATTTGTTTGTGTTCACTCTCTCTCTCTCTCTCGCATCTTCTCTCCAGATTGAGCTGTCCCTCCTTGGTCCCCCTCGGCGGCACTCAGGCTTTTCAAGCTTCAGGAAACTCCAGCCCATGTTTTTATGTGTGTCATTTTTTTTTCCTCTCTCTCTCTCTCTCGCTCTCTCGCATGTTCTCTCCAGAGAATGAGCTGCCCCTCCTTCGTCCCCGTTCGGCGGCCCGCAGAAACGGGGGTCGGTCTAGGGGGAGGCCCTCCAAGAAGGCAGAGGTCTCCTCCTGGGAGGGCTCGGTGGCATCTGGCAAGTCCTCTCAGGAGGCGGGATGTCTAGGGAGGAAGGACCAACCCGACCTGGACAATTGACGTTTACTGAACGGCCCTGGGCGTTTACTAAACAAGCCTGCCCCGTTCGATTCTTCCCATGGGTGCGCTTGACTAAACGGCCTCGCTTGTCGGGGTGCTCATCATGGGGATGGATTTTCTGCTCTTTAGGATGGGGTGACTTAAGCCCCCCTTCAGAAGAGGAAGGGATACCCATACCGCCAGTTTCCTTCGTTTCTTTTTTGGCTCTCTTGGGAAACCCTCGTCGCCACCGTTGGACTCGCCTCGAAATCCTGGTCAGAACGCACCCCAGGTTTCGGTACCGTTTGGTTTCCCGAATGTGGCAAGGCTTCTCAGGAGGCAGGATGGGTTCATAGAAGCTCCCCATGACGTCTTTTAGCGGGCAAGGCGAATAACGATATAACACAAGTTTTCCGTTGTCAGGGACGCCTGCCCCAGGGTGGCTGGAAAGTTTATACCCCTACAGTGACACCCCGGAGCATATAGGTACTTCTCAGCCGCCCTGGGGCAGGCGCCCCCAATGGCGGCACCGCTTTGCTCACTCTTGGAAGGCCTCAACTCCCTCGCCCGAACCCGTCGAGCTTGCGGGAGGCGCGCGTTTGCCACGGTATCCCCTCCTCCTCCCTCCTCCTCCTCCTCCTCCTCCTCCTCCTCCTCCTCCTCTGCCCTGGCAGCCTGGCGGTGCGAGGCGCGCCGGCCACCTCTGAGCATGTGTGTTCAGCTCGAGAGCGGCTGCGCGCCCCGCTCGGCTTCTGCGTGACCCCGGCGTGGTGAGGCTCCTCTTCGTCCGGGGCCTAAGAGACGGGGGTCAGTGCAAACGGGGTTCAGCCAGGGCACCGGATCCTGCAGGATCCTGCGAAGACCCCCTCTGGCTGACCCGGGTTTGCGAGCCGCTCGTGGCCGCGAGGCGGCCGCGCATATTGGTTGATCCGGGTTTGCGAAGACCCGCGTTGCAGTTTTTTTGTCCTGCATTGCAGTTTTTGGGTTTCCTGCTGACCCGGGTCTGGATTGACCCGGGTCAGAAGACCCCCGATTCGTGCCGTGGTGCGTACGTGCCGTCAAGGAGGGATGGGGGGGGGGGGGGGGCAACGATCGGGGGGAATAGGCATAGGGAGGGATGCATCGATCCCCAATCGCCCACTGATCGCCGATAGGGGCCCGGTAGCCCCGACCTGCCCAGGAAGGTGCGGATTCACTATCGGAGGCCGAAATCCGATCTATCGGCGATGTATCGCCGATTCCAGGTCGATGCATCCCCCCTATGCCAGCCCCCCCCTATCGTTGCCCCTCAGATGGGGGAGGAGAAGGCATACCCTGAGATCCTGGCGTCGCACTTTTTCCACACCTTGGGATTTCGCCATATTTCGGGTCCCTGCACAGTCGCGGATCGATGGGATTCGAAACGTGCAGCAGACAGATGGGGGTCTGTGGCTCGGGTCGTGATTCGTGACGTCGGATCTCAGGGAAAGGGGGAAGACGCGCGAGGAGGTGGAGAAGGTGGGGTTGGAGCTGGTGGAGCGGGGGAAGCAGTAGGATGAGGATGAGGAGGATGGTGATGATGATGATGCTGATGATGATGATGATGATGATGATGATGATGATGATGATGATGATGATGATGATGATGATGATGATGATGATGATGATGATGATGATGATGATGATGATGATGATGATGATGATGATGATGATGATGATGATGATGATGATGATGATGATGATGATGATGATGATGATGATGATGATGATGATGATGATGATGATGAGGAGGAGGAGGAGGAGGAGGAGGAGGAGGAGGAGGAGGTTAAGAAGGAGACGGAACAGGCGGAGGAGGAGGAGGAGGTAGAGGTTGGAGGTGGATGAGGAGGAGGAGGACGAGGAGGAGGACGAGGCGAAGGCCAATGGGGGGGGGAGGGTGGAAGTGGAGGACGAGCGGGGCGAGTGAGGCCCATGAGTCTTCCAGCCTCCTCCTCCTCCTCCTCCCTCTGTCCTTTTGCTCCCCTCCTCCCGCCTCCCTTCTCCACCTCCGCGTGCCCTTGAGGATGCAGGCCTGGGCCAGTGCCCGCCTTGCGGGATCGCGCAACTCGACGAGAGGCGCATGCGACAATCGTAGCTGGCTGGCCACCCCCTAAGAGTCCCAAGTGGCCGCGCGAGGCTTGGAGGTGTAGCTGAGGACATTTGGAGACCCTGTGATGTTTGCCTGCTTGCTTTTCTTCCCTCCTCCTCCTGTTTGTGCTCATCCCTCCCTCCTTCTCCTCCTCTCCCCCTCCTCCTCCCTCCCTCCCTCCGTCCTTGTCCTCCTCATCCGATGGTTCCCACCGTCTCTCACCCCTCCTCCTCCTCCTCCTCCTCCTCCTCCTCCTCCTCCTCCTCCTCCTTCACCTCCTTCTCCTCCCCCACCTTTTCCTCCTCCTGTTTGTCACCCTACCCCTCCTCCTATCCCTCCCGCGAGCGGCTGCGCTATGCTGTCCTCCTCCTCCTCCCCCTCGTCCTCCTCCCGTGTCCTCCCGAGGCTGGGCTCATCGACGACGCCCCCGTCGCGCCGTCCTCGATCGACGGCGCCGGCGCCCCCGCGCCCACGTGGCGGCAGAAGGTGGGCCTGACAGCGTGGGCCGCGCTTTTCGACGTCCTGGCCACGGGCCTGTGCAGCACCGGATTCCTCTTCATTCCTGCCAGCGTCTGGCAGCCGGGTGTTGCTAGAATCGGGAGAACGTGCGTAAGACTCGGGTAAGGCGGAACACGGGTTTGCCGACATCTTTTGACGAGCGCGTTTGGGGTTTTGACAGTCCAGTGTTCGTGGGATGTTTGCAGCGGGGGTTCGCGTCAAATTTCAGGCTCCGTCAGGCCAAACCGAATCCCCCGTACCCGTGTCTGACGCCTCCCCGATAGGAGTGTCCCTGGCGCAAAGTGCCCCCCAGGATCTCCAAGGAGGCCACCATGGGGCCTCCAGAGCACCCCTCACGGGGCCCAGAGGGCCCCAGGAGTTCCAGGATGGAGCGGAGGGGCCGGGGGCACCTTGGGCCAGGGGCAGCTTGAGCAGCCCCCGAGGCAGCTGCTCCGCGGCGCCGAGATGGTCTTCGCCCAGATCTTCGGCGTGCTGTTCCTGGGGCGGGAGGCGGGCGAGGGGGCCAGTCCACGCGCGGTGCTTCGGGGTGGAGGGGGTCGAGGATCTGCGATTCGAAGACGGTGTCCTGAGGAGTGGGGTCCCGAGGACGAGGTGCTGGAGGCAGCGCAGATCCACCCCTGGACCCTTTCCTATCCTTCTGCCCCCATCCCTCAGGGCCCCATCTCTGAAGCACCGAGACGAGGGGGAGGGGCGAGAAGTAAGAGGCACCTCGACATCCTCTGATCCTTCGGATCCTTCGGCTCTCGGAGGTCTCCGTCGCCGCACCCGGGTCCGCCCCGCGCCCCGAAAGGTCGGGCCCGCACCCGCTCCGGAAGAGGTCCTCAACTGGAGAGGGTGCGTGTCGCCGGCGTTGCAGCGCAGAGCACATGGTCGCAAGCCGAGCCTTGGGACGTGGCGCAGGCGCGCACTGCGCAGCAGGGGGAGTCACATGAGCACGGGGAGATAAAGCAGTAAGAATGCGTCCATCCTCGCCGTCTCCCGCCGCAGTCGCCGTCGTCATTGCCTGCCGCTCGCAGCCGTACTTGGCTGCAGTCAGATGTCACAAGGGGCGCGCCGCCGTCGTCTGTCGTCGCCAGCCGGCCGAACCCCTCCCTCACCATATATGTATATACACATAATCCATGTCGGATTCGATGATGCTGGCGGGGATGATGGTGGTAGTGCTGATGGTACTGATGGCGATGATGGAACGTGTTTCTCTATTGCTTGGAGCATAATGGGCATTTTAGCCCCCGGCCCCCCCTTTCCCCCCCTTTAGCGTAACGCCCCTTCTCCCCCCAGTGCGCCCCGGGCACTGCCGCCGTGCGCTCTGAAGGGGAGAGGCGTTACGTATACTCCCCCCCTGGCCCCTCCTCCACCCCTATCATGTCCATTATCGCCGAAAATATAGAAACACGCTCATGGTGTTGGCGGTGATGACGCTGCAGCTGATGGCGAAGGCTTGTGGTGATGGCGACGATGGTGCTCGCTTCGCATCACGGTGGCAGTCACCACAGCTGACTAGGCGCTGAGCTCGACGATTATGGTGAGGACGATGACAGGGAAGGTGACGACGATGCTGGTGGTGGTGATGAAGGTTCTAGTGGTGACGCTGATGATGATCAGGATGATTGGGCTTATGATCGTGATGGGGATGGTGATGATGATGTTTACGCTGATGCCGTTGAGGCGATGCTGATGATGCTGATGGTCAATCTCATGATGATGACAGCGATTGCAAGGCTGACGACGAAGACGACGGTCATGATGATGCTGCTTCTGTGATGATTTTGATCTTGCTGATGGTGATGGCGGTGACGACCTCGATGATGGTGATAACGAGGTTTGTGGTGATGATGATGCCGGTGATGCTGTTGCTGCTGCTGATGATGCTGATGATGAAGCAGCTGTTGATGATGCTGATGATGATGATTCACACTGACGACGCTGCTGGTGCTCATGCTGATGGTGATTATGGTGGTGCTGGTGATGTTGATTCTGATGATGAGGGTGCTGGTGGTGGTGGTGGTGTTGGTGGTGCTGGTGCTCACGATGCTGTTTGCCTACGTCGGGTGCGTATGATGGTGATGATATCGATGCCTATGGTGATGCAGATTCGACATATGATGAGGGAGCTGGTTCTGATGCTCATGGTGGTGGTGACGCTGCTGCTGCTGCTGCTGCTGCTGATGAGAAACATGGTGACGCCGACGACGATCATGATGATGATGATGATGTATATGGTGATGCTGATGTTGATGCTGCTTCGGATGAGTATGATGACGATTTCTAAGATGATGGTAGTTCTGTTGATGTTGATGCTGTTGACGATTATGATGATGCTGATGATGATGCTGATGCTTCTGATGATGCTGACGATGTTGATTATGATGTGGATGCTGATGCCGATGCCGCTGCTGCTGGTGATGATGCTGCTGTTGCTGATGAAGATGAGTAGGAGGAGGAGGAGGAGGAGGAGGAGGAGGAGGAGGAGGAGGAGGAGGAGGAGGAGGAGGAGGAAGAGGAGGAGGAGGCGGCGGAGGAGGAGGCGGAGGAGGATCAGGAGGAGGAGGACAGGTTCCTGCAGGATCTTGCAGGATCCTGCAAGGCCTGATTGACCCGTGTAGGGATTGACCCGGGTCAGTAGATCCCTGAGGGGAGCCATGTCGGGGAAATTGGACGAAAGCGTCGTCGTCGTCGCCGTCGCCGTCGCCGTCGCCGTCGCCGTCGCAGTCGTCGTCGGGGGCTTGGGCCCCCCTGCGCAGGGGCAGAGTGGCCGGAGGGAGTGCAGCCCTGGCCCGCGGAACCCGACCCTCGCCGATCAACGATTTTCGGCCCGCGCAGCCTCCTCCCTCACTCCTCCCTCGCTCCTCCCTCGCTCCTCCCTCACCCGGACCAGGATCCGGACCGGGACCCTGGTCGACCCGGAGCGGGACCTCGATTAGGATCCCACCTGGACCGGGACCCAGACGTGGACCGGGACCCGGACCGCAGGGTTTCTTATTAGGATTTTTTTACATAATTGTGGCGATTTGCACGGATTCCTAAGGCGTTCTTTGTAGGGATTCTTCAGGCGTTCTTCCTATGGAACCCACAGGAAGCCAATAGAAATCTGAAGGAATCCCAGACAGGGACCCAGACCGGGACCAGATATCCGGACCGGGACCCGGACCGGGACTGAGACCCGGACCGGATGACGGAAAGCGCGAGTAGCGTCGCGAGGGGCCAGTGTGAGGGGTTTGTTAGGACCCGCCCCAGATGGCGGAAATCGCGCGTCGTGTCGCGATCCGTTAGTTGGGGGAACACGCGGGTGTGTGAGGGGGCTGGCAGGGGAAAGCCCAGACCCAATCACCCAAATTTCGGCCATTCTCAGGCCAAGATGGCCCAAAGGGGCCTCGAGAACGCACGGGAGTCCCCCCAAACGGCCCAACAGGCTCCCAAGGCGGCGGCCTGACATACTTCCAGGACGGTCTCAGGGAGGCCCGAGAGGACCCCAAGATGGCCCAGGAGCGCTCAAAGCGAGACCAAGGTGGCCTGAAGACAGCCAGAGAGGCCTTCAAGACTGCCCAATAGGCCCCCCAAATGTTACAATTCGTCACGTTCGCTTCTTTGGTCTGAACAGCGTCCAAGACGGCCCAACAGGCCCCCCGGATCGCCCCAGGAAGGCCCAAGTGTTCCCCGAGAGGGCCCCTAGTCGGCCCTAGTGGGTTCCAAGGCGGCTCAACCAGGAGAGCCCCAAGAAACCCAACACAGGCCCCTGACGGTCCCAACAGGTTGCCGAAAAGAGCCCCTAAAAGGGCCACGGGAGGTCCCCTCGAGGCCCCCGAGAGGGCCCAAGACCTCAAAACGGCCCCAGGCGACCCAAGAGGGTTTTTCGCAGCCACGTTGGCTCCAGCCTGCTGCCTCAAGGAGACGAGTGGGCCCGCGAGACATACTGGCAGTGCCGATGCATCCATGCCGCTGCATCATCGCGCTCCTCTGCGCGGCGCTCCCGCTCGCGCGCGGGGCGCTCCCGCCCCCGCGCCCGCGGCGCCCCGACGCGCTGCTGCGCCGCGAGGCGCCGCCCGAGCGCCCGTCCGCGGGGGGGCACGGCGCCTCTGCGGCGCAGTCCGCGGTCGTCGACGCCCGCGGGTCGGTGGAGACGCCGAGCGGCCGGCCCCGCGACGGCGTGGTCGCCGTGCCGCGAGGCGCCGCGGGCCGCGCGCACCTCGCCGCGGCCGTCGCCGACCCCGCGCGCGGGGGCGACCCGGGGGCGGGCGAGAGCGGCGCCAAGGGCCCCGAGTCCGAGGTGGGCGCCACGGAGGCACGACGGGGGAGCCGAGGAGCCGGAGGCCGTCGAGGCGGGCGCGGAGCCGCGGTCGCCGCGGCCGAGGGCTCGCTGCTCGTCGCGCGAGCGCGGCCGTGCCGCCTGGGGCGGTTACAACAGCTGCGATCCGTGGAACATGTCGCTGACAGCAGAAGAGCTCAGGCAGTGCCTTCGCGAGGCGGAGGCGCAGGCTGAGGCGCAGGCTGAGGGGAACAAGGATCGGGCCGAACGAAAGGGGGAGATAGGGAAAGGGGGGGTACGAAATCTGCTGCATGCAGCTGGTTTCGGCCCCGCCGCCGGGCCCATTCCTCGGGAAAATCAGCTACGTGAGCTGATTCTCAATCCCCCCCTTTGCTATCCCCCCTTGTCGCCCGACCCGAAAGGAGACGGCAGAGGAGGCCAAGGGCCAGGCTGCACACGCTAAGACGACGGCAGCAAGGGCCAAGAAGGAGGATGAAAAGGCTTTGAGGAAGGCTCAGGAAAATGGGCTCAGGGCACAGAGGGGCGAGAGACATTACAGACTTGAGGCGAACATCAGGAGGAAGCAGACGGAAGAGACCGACTCGGACAGGAGTTGCTCGCCATTCTTGACGAAGAAGGTCGACATGGAGGTCATCGTCGACAACTCGCGTGCCATGATCCCCCCTGGAATGGCTCTGTTCCGCGGCCAAGCTGACGAGGCAGCCCGTGAGGCCGAGGCCCACAGGTGCCCGAACCGGGGCGCCTGCACGGCTGCCTGCTTCCTCCCGGGCATGTCGCGATGCGATCGCCCGTCGATCCCGACGTGGGCATCGCGCAGTGCAATGCCGTCTCTTCGGGCCACGGCAGGTCGAGTTCGGACCCCTTCGAGGGCTCTGCTTGCGGCGACCGGAAGGTCCGACATACTGCATGCCCCCCTCCCTTGGAAAGGGGGGGGGGTCCGAAGCTCCCCCCACCCCTTTTGTGACATCTTTTCGCTGGGGGGGCCACGGGGAGGCTTTGGGTCGACAAGGGCTGAATCCGCCCGAGCCCAACTCGCCCAAGACTCAATTCGCCCAGGCCCAACTCGTCCAGAGCTCAACTCGCCAAGGCTCAACTCGCCTAGGCTCAGCTCGCTCAGGCTCAACTCGCAGGGCTGGGCGCGTTGAGCCGGGGCCAGTTGAGCCAGGGCGAGTTGAGCCACGGCGATTTCCACCAGAGAACACGCATCTCAGGATCCTGGAGTGCTGCCACCGCTGAGGTCGGAGCGCTGGGACGAGTTCAGCCGGGCGAGATGCGCTCGGTGCGAGTTCGGCCGGGCGCGTGGAGCTTGGGCGAGTTGAGTGTGGTGCGGCTTCAGCGTGGCGAGTTGAGCGTGGTGCGAGTTCAATCGGGCGAGTTCAGCAGGGCGAGTTGAACCGGGGCGAGTTGTGTCCTGGGCCAGTTCAGTCGGGCGAGTTCAGGTGAGCGGCCGCGGGGCGGATAAACAAAAATTACGCTACCGAGGAACCCCACATACTTCTAATATGGCTGGCATGATTTTAGGTGACGTGAGACTTGCGAGAATGATGCTGATGGCCGTTGCTTCGCCGATACCATTGGTGGCGCCGGTCAAGCCTTGTGAACCTGAGTACCCTGATGGGGGCCCAGAAAGGGCAAACACCTGGGCAATACTCGCTAACCGCCACTTTGACCCCACCAGCTGGCTGGGAAAATTGGGGCCTGGTCGTTGCAGAATGGAATGTGCCCAGAGGGGGCTCAGAATGGGCAAAAGCCAGGATCCCAGGAGAGTAGGGCGGAGGCCAGGGAAGCCCAACGCGCCAAAAGCTCACCAGGGAAAACTCACATAGCAGAGGCTGGAGGAGGAGGAGGAGGAGGAGGAAGCAGGAGCGAGGAGGAGAGAGGAAACGGGAGAGGGGCGACATAAGACCCGCGCCTCCGATGTCGTGACGTGTCGTTCACAGCGTCGGCGCCCAGAGGTCTTGCCTTTCATCTTGGGTTGTTTTTTATTGCGCCTGGTCTCCCCGAGGGCCCTCGGCAAGCAGACAACGGCCAACGACTTTCTGTCGCGAACGTAGCTCCAGCCCCCCGTCTTGTCTGCCTCCCCCTCTCTAGTCGTCCTCCTCCCTTCTCCGGCTGTTCAAGATCAAGCGGACAGAATCGTCAGTGGCACGGACTGGGCATTTGTGACGTGCGCACCCTCTCTACTCCTACAACCACTAGGTAACGACCTGCCCGTCCGGGCCGCACGCCCTGCCCGTCCGGGTCCGCACCCGAACGCCTTGCAGGTCCGGGTCCCCAGGGAAATCCTCAGGAACCCCTACAAGGATTCCTCAGGATTTCACTGCCTCGAATCTCTAGGAATCCTTGGGAATCCCTAGGAATCCCTGGGAATCCGTATCCCTAGGAATCTCTAGGAATCTCTGGGAATCCTTCCCCCAGGAATCCCAAGGACTCCATAGGAACCCCTGGGAATCCCAAGGAATCCTCAGGAATTCTAGGAATCCCCCGGAATCCGTAGGAATCACCAGGAATCCATAGGAATCCCTAGGAATCCTCCCTAGGGACACCCATAAATCCCAAGGATCCCCAAGGAATCCCAAGGACTCCCTTGGCCCCCAGGAATCCTTAGGAAACTTCAGGCATCTCTGCGAATTCCTACGAATCCCTGGGAATCTCTTGGACTCCCTGGGAATCCCAAGGACTCCCTGGGAATCCCTAGGAATTCCTAGGAGTCCATCAGAATCCCTAGGAATCCATAGGAATCCCTAGGAATCCGTAGGGATCCCTAGGAATCCATCGGAATGCATGGGAATCCGCAGGATTCCGTGTGAATCCCAATGACTCCATAACATTCTATAAGAATCCATAGGAATACCAAGGAATCCATAGGAATCCTTAGGAATCCCTGAGAAACCTTAGGCATCCATAGGAATCCATAGGAATCCCCAGGAACCCCTAGGAATCCAAAGGAATCCATACGAATCCTTAGGAATCCTTGCAAATCCAAAGGACTCCATAGGAATCTCTAGGAATTCCTTGCGTATCCAGAAGACTCCTTGAGCAAACCGAACGCCGTACCCGTCCGGATCCCTAGTGCAATCCTTAGGACCCCCCGCGAATCCTTACGGTTTGCAGAGATTCCGAAGGATTGCACGATCTAGGAATCCTTAGGAATCCCTAGGAATGCCTAGGAATCCACAGGAATCCTTAGGACCCCCAAGGAATTCCTAGGAATCCATAGGAATCCCTAGGAACCCTTATGAATCCTCAGGAATTCCTAGAAAGTCAAAGGAATCCATGGGAATTCCTAGGAATCCTTTGCGAATCCTAGAGACTCCTTGCGCACACCGAGGGTCTCATCCGTCCCGGTCCCTAGTGAAGCCCTTAGGAACCCCAGCGAATCTTCACGATTTGCAGAGATTCGTAAGGATTTTACTAGTCAGGAATCCTTGAGAATCCTTAGGAATCCCTCGGAATCCTTAGGAATCCGTAGGAATCCTAGGAATCCCTAGGAATCCATAGGAATCCAAAGGAATCCCTGCGACTCCCTACGACTCCCCAGCAATCCATAGGAATCCGTAGGAATCCCAAGGAATCCCTTGCGAATCCTTAAGACTCCTTTGCGCAAACCGACCGCCTTGCCCGTCCGGGTCCCTAGTGAAATCCTTAGGCCCCCCCGCGAAACCTTACGCTTTGGAAAGATTCCTAAGGATTGCTTTATCTAGGAATTCCTAGGAATCCTTAGGAATGCCTCGGAATGCTTAGGAATCCTTTGGAATTCCTGGGAATCCATAGGAATCACTCGGAATCCGTCGGAACCTCACGAATCTCCAGGAATCTTTAGGAATCCCTACGACTCCCTACGACTCCCCAGCAATCCCTAGGAATCCCTAGAAATCCCTTGCGAATCCTTAAGACCCCTTGCGCAAACCGAACGCCTTGCCCGTCCGGGTCCCTAGTGAAATCCTTAGGAACCCCAGCGAATCATTACGATTTGCAGAGATTTCTGAAGGATTTCACTTAGAATCCCTAGGACCACCTACGAATCCCTGGGCATCCATAGGAATCCGTATCCCTAGGAATCTCCAGGAATCTCTAGGAATCCTTCGGAGTCCTTAGGAATCCCTGGGAATCCTTACGAATCCCTAAGAATCCCTAGGATTATCTAGGACCCCCCCCCGGAATCCCAAGGACTCCATAGGAACCCCTAGGAATCCGTATCCTTAGGAATCTCTAGGAATCCTAAGGAATCCTAAGGAATCCGTAGAAATCAGCAGGAATCCCTACGAATCCGTAGGAATCATCAGGAACCCATACAAGGATTCCTCAGGATGTCACGACCTCGAATCCTTAGGAATCCGTAGGAATCCCAACGAATCCCTACGACTCCCTAGGAATCCCGAGGAATCCGTATCCCTAGGAATCTTTAGGAGTCTCTAGGAATCTTTCGGAGTGCTCAGGAATCCCTGGGAATCCTTACGAATCCCTAAGAGAATCCTTAGGATTATTCAGGAACCCCCAGGACTCCCAAGGACTCCATAGGAACTCCTAGGAATCCCAGGGAATTCTTAGGAATTCTAAGAATCCAAAGGGATCCATAGGAATCACCAGGAATCCCTTGGAATCCCTAGGGACCCCCATGAATCCCAAGGACCCCCAAGGAATCCCAAGGACTCCCTAGGAACCCCTAGGAATCCATAGGAATCCATAGGAATCCCAGCGAATTCATACGAATCCCTAGGAATCTCTTGCGAATCCTTACGGCTCCGTGCGCAACCCGAACGCCTTGCCTGTCCAGGTCCCTAGTGAAATCCTTAGGACCCCCGCGAATCCTCACGATTTGGAAAGATTCCTAAAGGATTCCACCTAGAATCCTTAGGAATCCTTATGAATACCTAGGGATGCCTAGGAATCTCTAGGAAAGTAGGACCACTTTAAACGGAGAGGGTTAAAGGCGAGATGTAAATCGAGCATGCACCGCTGCCGTGCCTGGCTCAAGCCGGGCCCGGCCGAACATGTGATTGTGCCTCACTGAGGCGCACTACTTGCATCTGAGATCGGAAAAGACCTTTCTATTGAAGATGCCCCTTCTATCCTTTACTCCAGATCCCATGCTTCATCTTGCTCTCTTGCTCATGCGATATGAGCCAAAGCCTGGGATATGGGAGCGCCTAAGGCGGAACATATATCTTGGCTTACCAGTGCGTTTTCGACTTGGTAGCGGAGCTGGCTACACTCTCG